GAAGCGGAGCTCTTCGCAATGAAATACGTTTCCGTGAAGCAAAGCATTTTGTTGCTGAATATGTAGGTCCTGTAGATTTTTTAGATCTGTGGGTTCTGACGTCTGCTGTTGCTGCTTTTGTTGCCAGTGCATCCTATTTTTTAGTGTGGTGCTGTGGATGATGGATGAGGTCGTTTTGGATACTTTTATGAACTGGTCCGGATAGTACCTTGCATTCTTCTGCTGTGCATTCCCTCGGCTCGATAGTTTTCTGAATTTGACCACTTTGTTGTGGGTCTGATGTATTTATCTTCAACCGCTCAGGAGCTGAATCTGCGCCTTCACCCGAAGAGAGTGGTGACACTCATGCGGAATCGGAAAATCCGGAACGTGAATATAATGTAATGTTATGCCATCGTAGAATAACCACACAAACATAAAGTTAACGAACCTAGAGAAGAACAAAAACTTATTTTCTTTCAGTCATTACTTAGAACAAAATGAAGGTTTTCAAGCACAAGGTGCCGAGGGGACCTTTGAAAACAACACGAGAAACGGTGGCACTGCATAGCCTGACAGTACTATGACATGTCGTTATGGTGACTCATCCATAGGCTCTTCGTAGCTGATAATTTTTGATAGGGCAATCCCCACAGGCCTTTATACAGGGTACCCTAAATGTGTCAATATGTTGTGTCCAACCTGCTTTCTTCAGCCTTTCCATGATATCACACACACAGTTATGTTTGGAATGATGGCTGCTAGGAATTTGTATCGCAATAGCGCTATGGTCTCTTGTGCGCTTAGCCAACACGACCTTCCCATATCTGCCTCGGCCCAGCTGGGTCAGATTTGACTCATAACATTGATCCGTTTGAACACTTTCGGAATTTACTTCCTTCTGTGACCAATCCGGACCTCCAGCAAATCTTGCGGCCAATGCGTCCAAATATCAGTGCTCCTGCGCTCAACGGGTAAAATGAATTGGGCATTATCATGAAACAAACTCATGGATATTCACTATCAGTCGTGTCATATCAGCTATGATGTATTGCAACGAATTGTAATGTTCTGACTTGCAGCGGATGGGATTTGCAGCGGGTTGTACGAAATAAATAAGTTGGGGTCAAAGGTGGCAAAATAAGAAAATGCAAACATTCGTAGTTCCTTATCAGTTGGGAATGCACAACTAGGATGGAGCGCTTTCCTTTACGGATGAAACATACACGCACGAACTCGCTTTCCTAACTTGTCGACCTGTTTCTCATCGCCATCGTACTGTTTGTCTCCTTCCCCTGCCTTGTGTTCTCGCCTTCCTCTTATGGATGTATCTGTATCTTCACTGGTCTGCACGTTATTCTGGTAGCTGGGCTCTCTGTCTTCCGCACCTATGCCTGGACGCCGGCCTCTTGTTTGAGCACTTATACAAGACTCTGAGCTTGCTTACTGTTGGCAGCCGATTTTCACGGCACTCAATGACACCCGAAATCTGAAATAAAAAATTAAAATAAACAAATTAAACTCATTGTCCATCCCGGACCATATTCACCTACCTTTTTCCCAATTATCTAGTATTTTCTGCTTTACATAACCTCGTGCTTATTGGCACCTTCATTCGCTTCCTTATAATAGATCACCTCTGCTCGCCTCGCCATAGGTTTGGTTTTTCTATTTTAATTTATATTTCTCTGATGGATAATGTATTCAGGCAAACACAATTGGTTGTGTGCTGAATCCTGTAGCATAGCGTCGTCACCACTGCTTCGAAAACCCCTATTCAACTGCAGTCCTGTCTAGTTCTATATTTGGTCTTTCGTTTCCTTCTGTATTGTCCACTTTTATCTCTGTTATCCCTTTGTCTGTTGTCTCTTTGGGTGAGGGTGTATGATTCACAAGTATTAAACATTCAGACCTAGCCTGCAAGAGGTGTTGTAAAAACAAAAAAGATGCATCTCCCCCTCTTTGGATACAGAACCAACTCATGCTGATGCACAATTTCAAATGGCCTTCACTCAGTAGCCGGCATCCTTTTTACATCCTATTTTTGTACACAGATAGATATGCACCACAGCACCTTCTCGGAATTCACCTACCCCAAATACAATACATTCGCACATTAAGGTTCCTCCCAAAATTGTGAGCCGCACACAACACGCATAAGAACGCTAAGAGACTCTCCCTTCTATGCTTCTTTTGAAATGCCACTTCGCTTTAGCAAACCCACCCCATACGAGACTTCAAAAGTAAACATCTCTTCGGTATGTGCGTGATAATGTTGTTCAGCACAAATGTTGTTCAGCACGTTCAGCCCCAGTATGACCAGTCGATGTAATATTCATTCCTACCGCTTCTAATTCAGCAATCAGCTTTACTTTGATTTCTCTTTGATTTAAGTTCTCGATTTCCTCTTATTGGCCAAAGGTCTTCGGGAAAATAACATATTTCAAACAACGACAGCAACAACTCTCTCTCTTATTGGAAATGAATATGAATATGAACCAACAACAATAATAATTGTAAGAGAAAAGGACATATGGATACGAGTTAAGAGTAACTCTCCATCACTGTAACATGATACTATATACAGTCAGAAAGTGCAATAACTAGGCACAAAACTGAGACATTCAACGTCCTGACACCTAGCTTCAACACATCTCCGTAGCGCTATCCGACAGCCTTCCAACTGAATGTTCAAGGTCATGTAAAGACCAAGGAGGGGAAGGCAAGCGAAACGAAAACGAGCAAAAGCTACAGTCCCAAAGGAACAAAGAATGTCGATTGTTACTGGACCATGACGAGACCAGTACGATATTTGACAAAGCGGTCTAAATACAATTCGAATCAGCAAAGCAGCCACCCAACTTGGGTGGGTCTTAACTCGTGTCCATCTCTTCTACATTTATTTATTTATGGCTCAACATCCGAGTTTCAAACAATAATAATAACAGAATATATAATTCATTAACAACAACAACCACACCGCCAGAACTGCATAGTTAAGGGAGATAGACATAGAAACATAGAGGGAGGGAACAAAGAATGGACCGAGGGTCCTCGACGTCTGTCTCACCGTCCAGGAGCGACACTGACTCACGCTACTATCTGGTGTTCACGAGGTGTTTGTCGCGCTGGAAGCGGAGTGTCTCTGTAAGTTTGTATCCCTGGTGATGTTTGTGCCTGGAGAGCACTTTATAAGTGGTGCTCTTCAGGCACAATCTTCCTCAGCCTACTCAAGCTCAACTGATGAGGGGTGAATTCCCCGAAACACTGTGTATTGAGCAGGGAGTGGTGCTTTCCTGCAGGTTTGCAGCGTCGAAGGTTCGATGGACTTCTCGTGTGCTCTGTATGGCAGTCATGAGTCAGTCAAGTGTCAAGTAACGTCGGCGGAATAGCGCGAGTTCCGGTGTGGGGAGCAAACCTTTCAACAAACCATCGCCGAAGTCCCAACCACTACTTCGTACTGTTGTGCCCAGCGCGGGCTTGCGACTAGTTGGTTTGGAGGTGACAGAGTTGCGAATGACCGAGGGGCCTCGACGTCTGTCTCACCGTCCAGGAGCGACACGGACTCACGCTACTATCTGGTGTTCACGAGGTGTTTGTCGCGCTGGAAGCGGAGTGTCTCTGTAAGTTTGTGTCCCTGGTGATGTTTGTGCCTGGAGAGCACTATATAAGTGGTGCTCTTCAGGCACAATCTTCCTCAGCCTACTCAAGCTCAACTGATGAGGGGTGAATTCCCCGAAACACTGTGTATTGAGCAGGGAGTGGTGCTTTCTTGCAGGTTTGCAGCGTCGAAGGTTCGATGGACTTCTCGTGTGCTCTGGATGGCAGTCGTGAGTCAGTCAAGTGTCAAGTGAAGTCGGCGGAATAGCGCGAGCTCCGGTGTGGGGAGCAAACCTTTCTTACAAATCATCGCCGAAGTCGCAACCACTACTTCTTACGGTTGTGCCCAGCGCGGGCTTGCGACTAGTTGGTTTGGAGGTGACAGCGTTGCGAATGACCGAGGGTCCTCGACGTCTGTCTCACCGTCCAGGAGCGACACGGACTCACGCTACTATCTGGTGTTCACGAGGTGTTTGTCGCGCTGGAAGCGGAGTGTCTCTGTAAGTTTGTATCCCTGGTGATGTTTGTGCCTGGAGAGCACTATATAAGTGGTGCTCTTCAGGCACAATCTTCCTCAGCCTACTCAAGCTCAACTGATGAGGGGTGAATTCCCCGAAACACTGTGTATTGAGCAGGGAGTGGTGCTTTCTTGCAGGTTTGCCGAAGCGAAGGTTCGATGGACTTTTCGTGTGCTCTGGATGGCAGTCGTGAGTCAGTCAAGTGTCAAGTAAAGTCGGCGGAATAGCGCGAGCTCCGGTGTGGGGAGCAAACCTTTCTTACCGCTTCTAATTCAGCAATCAGCTAAACTTTGATTTCTTTTTACGTTCTTGTAGGTCTTTTTCTGTTATTGGCCCAATGCCGTCGTGAGAATAACGGATTTGAAACACCAACAACAACAAAAACTCTCTCTCTTATTGGCGATGGTGCAATCGCGAGAGTAAAGAATTCAACAAAAACAACAACAACAACAACAACAACAACAACAACAACAACAACAACAACAACAACACAATAAATAAGTCATTAACAACAACAACACCGCCAGAACTGCATAGATAAGGGAGATATACATAGTAGCATAGATATAAAGTCCGATGGGAGGGAACAAAGAATGGTAGCAAGAGAGTATTAAAAGGAATAGAGAACAATTGAAATAGTGGAACCTTGCCATGCCTGTAAGATTCTGGTTTTAGTACTCTTGCCTTCCAGCCACTCAGTCAGCTTACGTATGTATACATGCATGGAACTATTTCCGTTTGGATACGTTAGTTGAACAAAACCTGTGTTCGAGTCTGGGTACGCATTCGACGTTGTAGAGAAATACAAGTCGGACAGGGTATGCACAGTGTAACTCAACGAACTTAGTTTGTAGATCGTGCGGTGTATAAAAGGTCTTGAAAGATCCTAGAAAAATCGTTGTGTAAGGACCCTCTGCTCTTCGAGTTGGTTACGTGGTGGAACTGTTTTTTTTCAAGATGGAAGGACAACGGCAGCCATCGCAAGTCCCAATTTGCCGTCATTTTAACACCCGGCGAGGTTGCAAGTTCGGGAAGAGATGTCGGTTTTATCATCCGAGAGGTACGTATCACTTTCCCTCACAATTTAATTAACCTTGTGGGGGAGGGGGATGTGCTTACGTCAAATATTCATCAATCTCGTTTGCTGATAACCGAGTTCGGAATCGAATATATTTTTAAAACAAATTCAAGTTCGCAAAATCCACGCAAAGGAGAATTCAACTGAAACTTTCATTAGTGTATGTGTCTTCCTGATTGAATGTGTCAAACTGCATGGATTGTTTGGACCTAGATCTTTTATTATGATGTTTGCACCAAGATAAGATACACATATCGAGAGGCATAAAAATATAGATATTGTGAAGGCTGATTCTAACCACATTTACGGTTGCTACTTTCAATTTTATTATCATTTTAACGCAATTGCAGATTTCAGACAAAGCCGGGGCAGGCCATGTAAAGCAGAGTCAGTAGAAAGGGTGGCTTTGCCACCAGCCCCTCGCACGGAGTTCCCAGAGACAGAAGATAAATCGACCGTTGCGAATTCAAACAGTACCTTGAAGAGCGAATTGATCACGACGGATGAAATGCGAATACGAAGGCTGTATCGTGGAATTCGCGCGAGTCGAAAGATAAGGTGGCACGCTAGAGATACGGGGACAGACAGTGAGAGCGAGGGTAAGTGCTAGCATTGTACTCATGCTGATGTGTTTCCTATTGATGTCAGTTTGCAATGTTCAAGCATTTCATGTGTAATCCGACATGCCTGTTTTGTTTGGCTTTTGATTTAGTTGTTGCATCAGGCAAGTAAAATCCTGTTCTTTGATTACCCGTATAGGAGGACTTAAAAAATCCTGTATGCCGTGATGTGTTTTCTTGTTTTAGTGTTTTTGTAAATATTCTGATTCTATACATTTGAATCGTATCTCCCCTGTGAAGTTCTGATGAGGTCGTTTTACAATCGTTATTTCAATACTAATGTTTTTGTCTCCCCGCCTATTATCTCCAGGAGACGATAATCAGCCTGAGGCCAAGCGAGCCCGAGCTGTACAGCCTCGCTGTGAGAATGCAATGCAGCACAACCACGCTATGCATAATCCACAGCAGCATTACACACAAAAAGACCATGCAGCGAGAACACAACAGCACAAGCCAGAGCCCACAGATTTGACGCATCTGCAAGACCTATACATACACCAACAGCGGTTTGGCTTCCCGCCACCAGTACCGGCGTGGCACGTGATCAGCTACGAAGAGCCTATGGATGAGTCACCATAACCGGATGTCTCAAGTTTTGTCATTATAGTGCCATCTCTTCTCTTGTTTTTGTCAATAATTATATTTGGGTTAAGGACCCCTCGGCCCCAAGTTGCCGAAAACCTACATATCGTTAAGTATTGTTAAGTATTGACTAAAAAAATAAGTTTTTGTTCTCTTCTCGGTTCGGTAGCTTTATGTTTGTGTGGGTATTGAACGGTGGCATTAGAGGGATTCCGCACTACGTAAAGTTGAGCAAATTTACGTTAGTGGGTAGGAAAAACCCGTGTTTTCGCGAGTTTGCACTCCACTTACGGAAATGTTTCTACGGAGAGTAGGTAGTTAGGGGTCTGATAACTTAGCTGGTCCGTAAGGGGATTGGGGTACACATTTACGACTCTTTCCCCATGTCGATCTGGTCGTACACTGCCCCGTTCGGAGTTCCCAAGGGCTGCTACGTGATTTCTTTACTAACACTCATAAAAAGGACACACTTCAGGCTCATTACAAACATCTTGAAAGTTTTTGTCTTCACAAGTATACTTTCAAGCCTTCTCATCAGGTGAAATACAGGCAAGGGAAAAGGAACAGTAACAGTGGATTAAATACAGTAAGAAGGTGGTAAAACAGCACAAAAAAAAGAAAGAAAGAAGATAGCTAAAGTAAACAGCGAAAATTGCAATAATGACACAAAGGTGCAAATGCGAGAAAACTCAATAAGCGCGACATGTAGTGCGACAACAAGAGACAACCACTGGACATACATGTAACTAACGAGGTTTTGACGACCTACCTAACTTCTTTACTAACGTAATTAATTAATTAATTGCCAGCAGTCCCTCGCACGGAGTTCCCAGAGACAGTTAAATCGACAGTCCCGAATTCAGACAGTTTCTTCCACAATACAGGTAGATAGCAAAGCTAATCGATCATGACGGATGAAATACGAATACGAAGGCGGTATCACGCCAGTCGAAAGATAAGGTGGCACGCTAGGGATACGGGGACAGAAAGTGAGAGCGAGGGTAAGTGCGAGCGTTGTAGTCATGCTGATGTCGTCGTTGATGCCGTTCATTCTGCAATGTTCAAGCATTTGATGTGTGGTCCTACATGCTGTTTTAGTTTTGGATTTTCTTTTGTTGTTACATCAGGCCATTGAGATCATATTCCGTGATTACCCATATAAGAGGCTTAAAAAATCCTAATGCCGATATGTGTATGTTAACAACTTGTTTTAGTTGGTTTGTAAATATTTTGATTCTATACATTTGAATCTTATCTCCCCTGTTACATTGCGACTACTGATGAGGTCGTTTTACAATCGTCATTTCAATACTCCTCCATTATCTTCAGTACACGATTATCAGCCTGAGACCAAGCGAGCCCAGGCTGTACAGCCTCGCTGTGAGAAAGCAATGCAGCAGAACCACACAACGCATAATCCAAAGCAGCAGTTCACACAACAAAAGAATGCAGCAGAAACAAGACAGCAGGAGCCTGAACACACAGATCTCAAGCATCTGCAAGACCTATACATACAGCAACAGCAGTATCCATTTAGGTTCGGCTTCCCCCCCCCCCACCGGTAGTGGCACGTGATCAGCTACGAAGAGCCTATGGATGAGTCACCATGACCGGATGTCTCAGTATTGCCCTTATAGTGCCATCTCTTTATTGTGTTTTGTCAACTTTTCTGGGTGAAGGACCCTCCGGCACGTCGTGCTCGAAAACATTAATTTTGTTCAGTTTTGATCGAAAAAATTAGTTTTTGTTCTCTGGGTTTGAAAGAGCAGATAAACTCTTGGTTCAAGGGCGCTCACTTTCGTTGGTATCACCTGGTATCGTTCATTGCATTCTGTGCAGTGCTAATAACAATTCGGCCGCACAGCCATCGTTTGGGAGTTAGCGATGACTAATGCTGAATGTGTGTACGATCGGATCGGTACTGAGTGGAAGAAGGCGTTTAACCACTCTGTCGAATTGCTTGCGTTCTGCAAGTGGTACGGTGAAGGTGGCAAGGGACAATCACAACTGACTGAAGAAGAGTTGACGAATGCGAGGACTAGTGGTCGTCTTATTTGTTCTTTTCTTATTATTCTCAATGGTTTTGAGTGTTGACGCCATACTGTGTGAGTGTGTATGTGGTTAGTTGTTTGTTTTTGTTCTGCCGCGGATTTGCCTGTCTAGCTGGTCTTCTGCGTAGTGGATAGCTTCTGTTCCGAAAATTCCTTGTGTCAGGCGTATCTGCAGAGCATAAAATATATCTAACTATCGCGTCTGGAGATCCTTGTTAGGGCGCATGTGCGTGCGTGTGTTTTATCTATTACAACATCTCAAGACTGAGGGCAAAACACCGCACAATGTGAACTGATTTGGTGAAAGCTAATCCAAGGCGATAAATTAGGCGAGGATTAGAACAGAACAGGAAAGAGAAGTAAAAGAAGCGGCCAAAACTCCGTGAAGAAAGAGAAGGTTTGATAGAATGTCACGAGCAACAAAGACGCAAAGGTATGTGGATAATGAGCTAGATGTATGTTGTGATGTTGATACTGTGGGCACAAGTTATGCGATCGAGTTCACCAACTAAACCAGTTTTTAACAGTCAGACGTGCACAATCTAGCACAAAGCTGACAGGGAGTACTGAGACATTCCACAGCCTGAAAGTCTGCTTGAGAACTGCTGGCAAGCGCTCGTGGATACTGGTGCTAATTCACAAGTGGGTAAGGTAAGTGCCAATTTGGAAGGCTGTTGGATTGCTCATTTGAGATGTGCTACAGCTGATTGCCAGTTAGGTGTATAACGTCAGTACCGTTGGTCAGTGTCGTGCAATGTTATCGCAGGATCTGATTGTAAAGTAAATGGTGATGTTATTGGACATTGTTGCATAACTTGTTTTTTGGTTCTTATTAATTCTTATCAATCAATTACTGGGTCACCACCCGAGTCTAAATATTTCACATTCGTAACTATTGGCACCAAAAAATTGAAATAGGTGTACTATCACGCCTCAGGTCATTTTTGTTCATATTGGTCACACTATCTGGCTATATATAATTAAAGGGGTCCGCAGTTGCTCATACAACACTTCGGTTTCATCTGTTTTTACTCAAGATATCCATGATATATGGTTGCTTAACATAGTACATGGTAACTTTCATTGCAATTTGTCATTGCGATTATATCATAGATTTCAACCAAAATACACATCTTTTTCAAACCTTTTCGTGTGCTCCTCATACACCCAATTTCATGATTGCTCTCACTTTCTAAAATTCACACTTGTAAATATCACTGCCGTTGTTCGTGGTGCTATTAGTCTAACTTAGGATTTCTATAATAGTTCAATTTAGTTTTGGTGTCCTTTACTACAACGACGATTACTGATGGGTGTTGTTCGAAAACCTGTCAGAATCCAATTTTTCTCTACATTATTTCTTGATATTTTCATCGTTCTATTTTATATGGTCTCTATCGTTTTAAATTGTATAATGATATACAGTATACAACATTGTCGATTCAGCTTGGCTTATAGTTTGCAGTTAGCATTCATATTAATCAAAGATGCACATCTTTTTCCAACCTCCTAAAAACCTCCCCACGATCATTGACAGCCGCAAGCCTGTGTCTGTGTTTAGGCACTAGGTCGCACACAGCTGAATACCGCTTTTCGCATTTTACATGCAGCATAATCCACAAACCGGCAAAAAGAAGGCGAACAGCTGATATCGGCCCATCCAATGGTATGTGCTGTGCAGAACTGTTGGCTATGTGAATATGTAGCTACATTTAACGCAGCTAATCTACAACACGTGAAGTACGCGCCTACAATTACAACTTAACTCAAACAACGCAAAGCTACCGAAACTAATGAAAATAGGAAATACTTGTTTTTGTTTGGAATCAATACTGAGAACAAAATTAAGGTGTACGGACACTAGGTGCCGTTGGCTCCTTCACCCGGTAACACAATGTTTCGACTACAACACGAAATTACACCGTGTGTTCATCCCGGTTCTCTTCCACTTGCACTTTTCGCTCAGCTTCCTGTTTTAGATGTTGAAATGTTCGGTTGTCTCTGTGGTGATACTGCTGAGACTTCCTGGTGGCATTGCGGTGGCTTGTATGGTGCTGCGGTGTATATTCATAGCGAAGCTGGAAAGCTAGGGCTTCCTACGCCGTATAACTATCTCCTGGATATGCCAGTCGTCAACACATGAGAAGCCTGCCGATAATTACACCACAAACTAAAACCACTACCAAAAATAGAGAAATACGAAAACAAATTTCTTTCAATCAACCAAGACTGAGAACAAAATTGAGGTTTACGGACACTAGGTACCGACGGGTCCTTCACCCGGAAACACAATGTTTCGACTAAAAGCACGAAAGAGAGTGGCACTACTTGGCCTGACTATACTAGGGAGACTCATTCATCGGCTCTTCATGGCTGAGCACGGCCCACTGTACTGGCAGTGGAAAGCCTAGCGGAAACGGATATTGTTGCGCTTGAGCGTGCTGTAACCGCGTGAGATTCGCTGGGTCTACCTTATGTTCATCCCGGTTCTCTTCTACCACATGTTCTTGTTTTTGTTCGGCTTCCTGTTTCTGATGTGGAAATTACGCGTGGTCTTCGAGGAGATATGTAGTGGAAGGGGGCCATAATGCATTAAGTAATTTACAAGCAAGGCCGGTCTAGGAAGCTCGAGGTAGGGTGCTCAGTAGCATCAAATATCAAGGCCTGCTCGTAGAGAATTCGATAGTGAATGCTGCCGTCTGATGATCGCTCCGATGCGTGAAACTTTACGTTATAGCTAACGCAGCCTTTCCCCTCTGTTTTGTATGTCAATACCGAATTTAGATTTTCCGGCAGAGTATCACATACCTCGGGATCATTCTCATATAGAGAATTGGTGGCCTTTCAACCTCGAGGCTACATTATATCTATTTTTTGGGCAATGCATCGCTCACCGCTAGATACCCTTTTCCCATTGTACATGCAGCAGGATTCACTAATCGGCAAAACGAAAGTTTGTTTTGGTTTACATCCTTCCATCCAATGGTCCGTGCTGTGCACAACTGTGGGCTGGATATGTGGTTCAATTTAAACGCAGGCAGACGACAACACATAAGATGCCCGCTTACAATTACCCCACAAGCTCGAACCACTCAAATCTACCGAA